TAATGGGGGGGGGGGGAGGAAGTTTTAAAATACACTTGTCAGAATTTAGGCATGTAAACCAAGAAATAGTCACTAATAAAAATCAGAATTTAGAATCCAACATAAGATTAATACCAACTATTTACAGAATATTCCAATTTTCCTTCAATTTAAATTATATGGGTTATACTAAATTATTAATGTTTACATCACATCGGCAGATAAGTCCAAATACAGACAATGTTTTTTAGCACCAGTCTTGATACATTTTTTCAATAATCACATATTCCCAAAATCAAAATGCTCAATCAGTATTGAAAGGTTAAAAAAATCAATAACTTGGGGTGCCTGGATGGCTCATTTGGTTAAGCATCCAACTCTTGATTTTGGCTCAGGTCATGATCTCATCATGGTTCATGAATTCAAGCCCTGGGTCAGGCTCTGTGCGTCAGCACAGAGACTGCTTGGGATTCTCTGTCTCCCTCTCTCTCTGCCCCTTCCCTGCTTGATCTCTCTCTCAAAATAAAAAAATAAACATTTTCTAAAAAGTCAATAACTAACTATATATAACAATAATATAGACATAGTCATTGACAGAAGCTGCCGTTATAACTGCCTAATGTTTCAATTTAATTTGTATCCAACCATTATCATTTCTGAAGATTTCATTATCTTTGATAAAATATGTTCAACTACTAAAAATCACCATTATAAATTTATATTTAAATCACTAGCCTAAAATCCTAACATAAAAGTTAGACAAGTGCATCTTTTTTTAAGTTTTTTTAATGTTTATTTATTTTTGAGAGAGACAGAGTGTCTGCCTCTGCATAGCTTTAAAAAGATGCACTTGTCTGTGCATCTTTTAAAGCTCAATAAAATTGAAAAAAATTATCTAAAAATTGACACTATAGGGCACCTGGGTGGCTCAGTTGGTTAAGCATCTGACTTTGGCTCAGTTCATGATCTCACGGTTCACGGGTTCAAGCCCCGCATCGGGCTCTGTGCTGACAGCTCGGAGCCTGGAGCCTGCTTAAGATTCTGTGTCTCCCTGTCTCTCTCTGCCCCTCCCCCACTCACGTGCTTGCTCTCGCTCTCGCTCTCTCTCAAAATAAATAAACATTTAAAAAGCTTTTTTTAATTGACATTATAATGTCAATGGTTTCATTGAGTTTTCTGAGGACATTATTGCTCATTGTTCATTCACAGAGTAACAATGACTTAACAAAACATGAAGTGTAAAAGCCACAACCAGATATGCTTCCACTCTGAAATAAATTCTTTATCCTTGTTACAACCATAAATTCTTTTGCATCGTTTTTTTTCACATCAGAGTACTTCAAGACCAAAAGTTTCCAAAGATGATAATTTAATGACCTAATATCCCAGGTAGTAAACAGTAAGAACAAACTAATGCTCCTGAATTCAGCACCGAGTGTTCCCAACAGCCAATAGTGCAGATACACTGCTGTGATATCTGAATGGAGGAGTAAGGAGACTATTCCACATGCTTTTCCCAGCCAGACTTGCTCTCAAAAAGCCTGGTAATATGCCAAGGCTGTAGTAACGCATCAGACAACATTCAATAACTTTTTATATATGAGTTATTTTGTAAAATAAGCCACACAATTCCTCATCTCTATAAAAATAAAAACCCCATGAAGTTTTAAAAATTATTTTAGGGCGGCACCTGGGTGGCTCGGTTAAGTGGCGGACTCTTGGTTTTGGCTCAGGTCATGATCTCAAAGTTTGTGAGTTTGAGCTCCGGGCTGAGCTCTGAGCTGACACTGCAGAGCCTGCTTGGGATTTTCTGTCTCTCCCTCTCTCTCTGCCCCTCCCCCGCTTGTGCTCTGTCTCTCTCAAAATAAATAAATAAACTTTACAAAAATTTACTTTAGCAAGAATAGTGTAAGTTTATACTTGTGGCAGAGGTGCTAACTGACCCTCATATACATTCCCCAGCCTTTATTTCAATAAAGGAATCCCCCTGTGTTAACTGGGCACATGGTCACTTTATTAAAGACTACTCTGAAGCTAGATGTGGGCACATGTCTAAGTCTGTCCAGCGGAATTTGAGTGGAACTGGTGTGCTTCTGTAATCTCCAGAACCTGTACTTTAAAAAGGAAGTTGCCTTCCCTCTGTTCCTTTCCTCTCTTTACCCTTCACGGTGAACTACACTTTACAAGTAAAAAGTACTCGACATACACAAACCCTCACCAGATAGTACACTTCTGAGTCTTAAACAAAACTAAACAAAACACACGAGAGTAAAATGTTACTAATAGGCAACTACACTTAGTAAGTTTTTCAGTGAAGTTTTTTAGCCAAGTTTTTTAGAAAGAGAAAATAAGTTTGGGATCAGAGACGTAGACTACTTCTTTCATTTTTATATTGTTCTAGAAAATTTAAATTTTATGATTTGTTACAGAAAATATCATCTCAAAATTAAAACTTATCTATATATATTCCTTTCCACACATGGCTTCTTCTTTCTTCCAGAATCAATAGGCAAGCTTCTGCTAATACTATTAATAACATAATCATGAAGGGACTCAGAGCATACAGTTTGAAGTCTTCTAGCTGTGTGTCTAATTTCAGCTCTGCCATGTGCTGAGTAACCTTAGACAAGCTACTTAAATTCTTAATGCTTTAATTTCTTTATGTATAAAATGGGGGAGGAGGGCAGTACCTATCTCATCAAGTTACTGAATAAAAAATTAAGAACAACTCATGGCATGTTATAAGCACTCAATAAAGTTAAAAATTAACATTATTGTTACTAGATGAAAGGGACTGTAATAACGGGAGAGGCAGGAGGAAAACTCACTTTTAAGTTCATACCAATCTGTAGTTTATAATAATTTTATTTTTATATACACATATGTTAAGATAAATTTTAAATCAGAATACATGTGTTCTGACTAAAACCTCAAACTATCTTCTCCCTGCCTGTTGATTGAAAAAGCTGAATTAATCTAACTGTACAAAATAATATTTATAAAAATATATCTATTTCCTCTTTTTCTTATAAATAAGTACAACTTAGTTCCTCACCATGACCACTTTAGATTTGACCACGAATCCTATCTTACTTTCCTGAAGTAGGAAAGAAGACCAGTGTCATGGGTAATTCAGCCACGAGAGGCAAGACAAATAAATCAAACCTTCTGAGACACAGACTGCCCTTCAAGTTGCAGAAGACTCCCAACACATTGCCTAGAGATGGAAAAAAGGGATTATTATGTCAGAGAATCACATGATTGGGAGACTTGGGCCAACGGATTCAGAAATTTTGTAGGTAGCATCACATCTTCAGAGGTAGAAATGCACATTTGGAAAGTGAATATTTTCTGTCTTTATAAACCTGGTGAAGACTATAGTATCTACACCATCCATCTGAAACTATTAGCAGAATCCAGTAGCTTGAAAGGGAGTTGTAGCAACTTCTACTTTTATGATTTAGTAGTTGATAAGCAAGCATTACCTTTATAACACAAAATAATTATTTTCAACTTATTTATTTATTTTGAGAGAGACAGACACAGCCTGAGTCGGGGAGGGGCAGAGAGAGGGGCAAAGAGTTGTACACAACTGACTGAGCCACCCGGGTACCCCCCAAAAATAATTATTTTAAAGCAAAATGTAAAGGCAAAGATTATGTTCACACAATCCAAGTGAGAATTTAACTCTGAATAAAAATTTAAGGTAGCTAAAACTTTCCCATTTTATTTTAGTGGCATTGTTATTTCCATGTTTAAGGATTTTAGAACAGTTCTCTGAATTGATTTAAAACTTTTCAAACAGCAAGAAAGTTTTTCTACTTAAAATTACGTTGGCCACAACAACCCAAATAATCAAATTTTTTAAAATGCACAACGGTCATAAAAATAATTCTCACAGGAATTTGGTCCACTTAAATACGAAAAATAAAACAAATTTTTCCATAGTTAACTGTGGTAAATATTCCTGGGTCCTGCAAAAACCATAAGGTCCCACCTTATGTGGTCATACTGAGTTCTCTAACAGACATGTCAGCATTCTATCTCTAACAGGTCATTCAAACTTTTACAAGTGTTTGCCCTTCTGTGTTCCCTGTTTCTGTGGCACCATCAACCACACAGTCGCCCAAGCTGAAAATCTTTCATCCAGCCTTACCTCCTCCCTTTCTATGCCCTCTCGAATCAAATATTTCACCAAATCCTATTGACTCCATCTACTTAATCTATTTAGCATTCAAATCTTCTCCACCCTTTCTAGAAGACACTGGACTAGATTAATTCCAAAACCCTACAAGCCTCTGCGTTACCCATCTCCTCACTTCTGATAAGGACTCACGGACAAACTCTCCTGAAAATCATTCTGTGCTAGTCCCCAGGCTGGATCAGTAGTTCACAACTAGGTCTAAAGCAGGACTCTGCAAATATTTACTATCTAGCCTTTTACAGAAAATAATTTTGGCTTTGAGGGCAATATGGTCTCCGTTGCAAGGACTCGATTCTGCTGTTGTAGTGCAAAAGCAGCCAGAAACAATGACCATAGCTGTGTTCCAATAAAACTATTTATAAAAACAAGCAGTGGTCTGGCCCCTGGCTTACCAGCACCTGGCCTACAGAGTAAAGTCTAAAAGAATCAGCGTCACAATAACTTTCCATTAAGTAACCTGTTCCGAAACCAAACTGAACCATTTGATCTGTCATTCGCGTATTTTCTCAAGATGTTTCCATCTGCTTGGCACATCTTCTCCCAATCGGGTCCAAACCATTCCCATTTCAAATCTCACCTCCTTTAAAAACTTCTATTTGATTCACCTAAATAGAAGAGACCCTTTCCTTCCTTTTAGTTCCCACAGATCTTTTCCCTTCTCATTTCATGAAACATTGTATTTCTTCCCCTTCACACTGGGACTGCCTATCTTATACTAGACTGCCTATTCTTTCTTCATATGCCAGATCCACATTGTTATTCACCTGTGTATTCCTCTAGCTTTGTA